CATTTTAACCGTTATACTTTCTGTCCATCCTTCCGGACTGGTACAGCTTGTATAACTCTATTTTCCCCCCTCTAAATGGTAATCTCACTGGGAAAGAAGATTCTGTCGTTAGTTCTCAAGACTGAGTTACAAGCTGCTATCTGTTTTTAAAATGAATGATTCGTTTGGGCCAAGTTCAATATCTCTTTAAAACATAACAACAACGTGAAAACACTTTAACTTTTGTGGTATAAAAATATTATATTATTTCGTTTGTTATAATTATCATAAAACACGCTACATATTTTATAAACAACTCGTACGGCTACATCATATATATACATTTGGTCCGATTAACGCCGTGCAAGCGAATAAAATAACGCGGGAACAATCTTTCTCATGACCGAACATTTAAAGTAGTGCCGATTGCAAAATATTTGAATTTACAAAGTACTTGTAACAACAGTATGGATAGTGCTATCTCTGTGTTAAAAATAGAAGAGTTCGTTATGTTCAGCTTTATTTAGAATTTTGATTCACGACAGAGGTTAGAGCTGGTGAGAAGTTTAGTTACAGGCTACAGCATTGATGAGGTGAGGCCTATCGGGTTACGGTTCACATATATAGCATCACAACAAGCTAAATATATTAATTATACTGAATGTATCCATTTAGATGTTCGACTTGTCAAAACTTGACACAGTTTTAAGCTCTAATTAAACATAAACACTCCATAAAACGAACATCATAAGCTATTGCCAAGGTAGATATTGTTACGTCTCAGTTCGTTAGTTAATTTTCCGTAAAAATCCTTTCAGAAGAAACTTTACCGATACAAATCCTTTCTTAAATAAAACTGGTTTATTCTTTCTGAATACAACTTTGCAATATACTTAATTTCAACAGTCGCGGTATAACCATCGTTATAACTCACAACGAACGTCTCACGTGCCCAACAATATTCTCTGTCCGCATACATTCAATTACTCATTACCTTCCGTTGCTTCTTGGCCGGTCTTATATATACAAGACTACCCCAACCTAGTAGTCTCCCGACATTTCATGAAGGTTCGAGAAGGAAGTGGCGTGGTACGAGCGTCACGTGACCTAGTAAATATACAATAAAATGATGTTCAGACCTAAATAAACTTCCACAACGTAGGACAGACCTGTACTGTGAACTTAACACATCAAAGTGGTTTTGGTATACATACTTTATAGCTGTATAAAGATTTAAAGTAAAAAAAAAAAAATACTGTTAATAACATTCTACTCTTATTGCACCATATTATGTGAAATGCTGCATTTTAAAAACTTT